GAGCCGAAGGGCCAATCAACCAGCGAAAGGGGCACAACGTCCTGGCGTGCTCTCTGCAATTGATAGGACGAGCCGGTATTTGTCGCCTCTCTGTGCGTGCTCCTCCGCCGGCTAATCCTGTCAAGTGCAGAGAGCACGCCATGACGTTGCGCTTTTTGCGCTGTTTATTGACCCTTCGACTAATAAAGTCGGCCGTGTTTGGACCTTAGGTGAAACGAAGTATAGAAGAGTGGTGTTTACACTTACCCCGAGCGTGAAAAATAAGAAGACCAGAACGACCTTGCCTAGTCATCGTCGGCGTAGCGCTAGCCCGAACGTTCTAGGTCAAATGTTCAAGATGACAATTACGGTAGTTAAAAAGCCGAGCGCCGTATCGCCGATTCATTCGCTGATTCTCTCGCGATACCCAGTTGTTACGCCGACACAGTGTCGATTGCAGCTGTCGCCGTCGACGCTCTCTGCTCCTTTCCCGACGCGTGTTTTTCACTATCGTTTCTGGCACAAGTTTGCCCTCTAGTAAATTTTTAGTTCATTTTGTTTTCTCTTGCCTTATCGTCGGCTATTTGTGAAAATATTACACAAAATGGCTTGGATTAGAAGGCCGAAGCAGAAGTCGCCTGTATATACCCCTAGCTTCACTACTCTTGGAACACAGCCAACAACAGCTGAGCAACACAAATATTATTGGCTCGGAAATTTGAACTATATTATATATGCAACTCATAATATGAAAACCCAACAACGAGAAAGTAAGGTTCTAAAACAGCAGACAAAAAAAACGAAGCTGGAACTACATTCTTGATTGTTGCCTGACTGTCTTCAAAGAGGAAGGATGTTCTATTACACATATTAGGCTAGGATAAATTTTTACGTATCTTGAATTTCCCATTTACAAAGTGCGCCATACATAGTTCTGGTTCTTGTTTTTATTAGGTTTCTGTGTCTGTAAGTGTGATCTGTCCGAGTGTTGGTAAAAAACTTTGTTCATGGTCAAGTTTTAGTTAAACAAAAACGACTCCCGTCAGTACTTGGATACACGACTGTCTGAAGTTGCTCACACCACACTATTTTTTAATCCACGCGCTCTACTATACTGTTATATTAAAAAAAAAACGTTATATATCTAATCACGAGCGATCAAATCACAAGCGATCGGACCACCGTGTTGCACATGACAAGGCACTCATGTCACGCGGTACCAAAACAGTTTGTTCCAGAACCGTTATCCATATTTTTTCCACCACGTTTACATGCATGCGCATTTTGCTTTTTTTTTTCACCACGTTTACATGCATGTGCGTACAGCTTCGAAAATTTGGTTTTTACAGTTGGTTTTATATGAGAACTAAAAAGTTTCGCGTCGCGCGTATAGCTCTTTCGGGTCGAAGTGTACGACGCCGTCCGTATAGACTTAGTCTTGCTGAAATATAAACTTCCAAAACGCAGAACCCGACCTATAACCGCAAACAAGCTTCCCCGCCGGCTCCGTCGTAAAGACAAAGCAGAGTGGTGGGCGACTTTGTTTACCCTGATATGAAATAGGTGCCGCATAATCGAGCACGCTTGATTAGATCCCACAGGCTTCCATCGGGGAACGCGCGTCCAACTGCTCGCACCCAAGTCGAACTTTCGTCATTCCGACTTGTCGAAGGGAATCGAAGCAAAATGATGTGCCCCTGGCAGCATCGTATCACCAATTCCGCAGAAGTAATAGCGGGTTTGTTCTCAAATGGTTCTTGTCGTTTTGTTTTTAACAAGACATAAATGCGGAAGAAGACGTTGTGCGATCTCGCTAAAGTGGTGATTTAATATGGTAACGTACTTCAAAAAGTCTACCACAGTAACACATTGCTGTATCAATGCAATCACTTACCTTCTATATCGTTCACAAAGGCCGGATAGTACCTTTCATCCTTGCTTTTCTCGCCCCTTCTGTAGGCCTGCACACGCACAGTCCTGTTGAACTCACCGACGTTCTTCGGGAAGAAGTTTTTATGAGCGATACAGCCAGGATAGCGCGCTGGCTATCCTGCTCTTACCGCACATATGTAGACATGATGCTCACGTAGGTGCACACAGAGCTCAGAATTAGAGTCCTCGAGTCACGAAAGAAAAGGACCAAGCACAAAAGCCCCAGCGTAAGCTTCACTTAAAGCAAAACAAACCACCAAGCCGTCCGGATTTGATTGGATTGGTTGAACAACTAGGGATTTTAGGATAGGCTTCCTTCGGCTACTTAATGTAAGGTAGCGCAGGGGGTGCAGATAATAAAACTTTTGTGTCAAGTAAATCTTATCAGCCTACTTTTATAATGTACTAACGGATAAATTGTCTAGATCTCCCAACCCCCGATACAAAGCGATACAAAGGGGTTAGTCACATATCCATATCCATATTCATATCCATGAAAGGAACCGTCTGCTGCACCAGCTGGCTACCAGTACTATGACCAGTACTCCAAGTTGGAGTTGTTTGCTTGGCAGATTTTTCCGTTGTTTCGCTAGGCGCCATGGGTAAGATTTTATTTCGTTAAACTTACTAGCGATGGCAAGACCGACGTCATACAAACGGCAAAACATATACTTCGACGCGGGCGAAGAATTGCTTAACGTGGATAACACTTCGCTGAAAAGTGCGGCAAGTGGCACTGATATTAGCGCGAGCCTTGCAGAACGGTGTTTTAGCTCATATCCGCTAAGATACTACACGAATGGTGGAAGCAAAGTACCAAAGTAAGGCGCATAACAAGGTATTTATTGCTTTTAGAAAATGGATGTCTGCTACATCATTCCGATGCCATACAACGTATTTTTTGTGGCTATTTTCCTGAAAACTGTCGTACGTCTTATTGAAAGTCGTGCGCGCGGGTGGAAGAGGGAGTTACATGTGCCCTCTTCTTTCCCTTATCACGCGGAAAGAAGTATCGTGGGAGAGTGATTTACTATCGCAGGCAATATGAGCTGCAACGATCATTCATTCTTTTTTAAAGTACTTGCCTGTTTCTAAACAACTTGGATCCCAACTGTTTGATGGAACGCGAAGCTTAGGTCTTATTCCTTTAACTCGATGTAAAAGCCATATATTTGAATGTTGTGGGGATTTCAGCCGCAGAAAAGGGACGGTTTTAGTGGTTCCGCTCATATCGTCTACGGGGTTGTATGTTCTGCTAAGTGGCACCAGTACCATTCAAATTTATAAATGTTGTCGCGACCGCCATTCAATATAAAGAGAGTTTTGTTTGAAAATTAACAGAGTAACACTGAAAGTAACACTTTACTTCTGAATATCACTGAAGAGAACTTGGTAAGATATTACACATGTGGCTCTTCTCTTCTCTAGCGCGATTCGCGGGACGAGGCGTTCAATCGATTTGCCGCAGCCTTCAAAACGTCTAGCAAAAGGAAGGTGCGCACTAACGAGAAGATACCTGAACAGAAGCGGTGATGGCCTGAGCGTGACCGTGCTCGGCGTGCCAAATACACGGCGGAGCAGAGAGAGCGACGTTTGACTAGCGGAATATAGACCTCATAGAGGACAAGCAATGTGATCCCATTTCCGCGTGTTTTTTTTTTAATCTGCATTGTTATTTTGAACGCCGCCATAAAGAATACAAAACGCTGCGATCTGAATTCTTCGACTATGGACCAGGAATGAACTATTTACTGGACGCCACATTCGAGGGCGCTCTTTAAAAAAAAAAGCATGCTAAGAACGAGCTGACATTATTAAGTTGCCAAGACAGGCAATCTTGACGTTGTGGAATGTCCGTTGCAAAAGAAGTGTGGATGCTTGCCATCTGCACGTGCTGAACATTGGCACACAAGGCTATGGCCGCCAGGGACTACTCTCTATTGGGAATTGAAGCGAAAAACGTTTTGCTGCCGAACTAGGAACAGTCAAGTTTCGTTTCTTTGAACAGAAAATCGTGAGACGCAATCTAGCAAATGAATTGTGGAACAATTTTTTTATTGTCGATTGCATTTGATGTCAACGAATTACATTTAGTATTTTTCACAATATAATATGAGATACATTGATCCACTGTTGATGCTGTAAATCATTCCGTGAAAAGTTATCGGATTTCCCGATTGTAAAAGCAAACATCGGGTTCTGGGAACTCGCACGATCTTCGATGACCATTTGATGTTGGGTTAGGCACTATTTTGTCACAAAAGTTTATATTGCACGTTACAGCTGAATACCTAAAATGTCGTTAGGACAAAAGTACTCATCCGGTGCTCTTGTGTCAGCGTGTTGACATCGTTAGAACCACTTTTACGGAGACGACCACATGGCCGACGCGTCATTTATCACTTTTAACAAAAAGGAAATAAAAACCGAAAATGTTAACAACACCCAAACCTCACTACCACCCAAAATACCCTATATACTCAAACCACCCAAAAAACACAAACCACCCAAAACTGAGCGTGCACACCAGAAACTTCGCAACCTTCTTCCGCACAGGTACGTTGATCGTGTTCTTGGAGTACGGTTATATGCGGCGGGTTGTCGTTGACGTAAACGGCCCACTGATCGAAGTCGAAAAGCTTGCTTTTCGACTTCGACCGAAAAGCGCCAAAGAAAGCACGGTTAGACTTAGCGAAAGAGTTTTTAAAGACAGAACTAAAGGGTAAGTTCACAAGTGAATTGGACATGTTTCTCTAATAATGGCCTCTGGTTCTATCATATGTTCAAAAGTCATGGTCAAAATGTCTGAGGTAACCTGCAACGGCGAACGCACGTTTTGCCACTGCAATTTTACCGCAAGGAAAAGGACTCAGGGAAGGGGGGCTGGTATATGCTTACGTAATATATTGAGAAAACACTCGAAGTATAAGCGGGAATTTATCCTTGGAACTAGGTTGAAGTACTCCAAGGTTTCCATTAGCTCCCGTTTTGTTGGTGCGTCATATATAAAATAAGCTTTAATAGCGAACTCCAGTGTAAAGACACCGAGGGTATTACTCTTTTATCGTCAAGGGATGCGACGATTGGGATCAAGGCCAGGGAGTGATTCCAAGCTTCTCGGCTGCGACGACATACGCCGAGTCGATAGTCGGTGTCAAAGGGGAAGGCTCGTCTAAGCAACGCCATAGATTGACTTTGAAGCCAGCTCGCACCAGAGCGTCTTTCACGGTATCTGGCTTCAAGCAGAGGCAAGGAAATTTGACTCCCCCCACACTGTATTCGCGGCAGCCGAGGACACCACATAGTATAAGGAGGCCTCCCTCGAGAACGAGGTCGCCGACGTTCTGAAAGGCCGTGCGGAACGTGGCTTCGTCCGGGGAAGCTGCCTCCAGGCAGAGGCAGGACAGGACCACGTCGAACTTCTCCTGGTGCTCTTCTGGAAGGACTCCGGGGACCAAGACATCACCAGGAACCACTTTTCTGATGGCTTTGCGCGTTCTCGCCGTAATTTCTTCCGCTCCTCGCTTGATGTCACTGTTCAAACCACAGAAAACACGCAAGGATCTCCTCTTAGTTTGTGTGTATTTCCTGTACAGGAATTGGGCTGCTTAAAACTCTTAATAAACTTTATTTAATCTTCTCATTCTTGGGTAGGCGTTTTAAAACTATATACACACTTAAGCATTAGAAATGTTAACAAAATAACCTCACACATTTTCACTGCTAACTGCATCTGTGAATAGGCAGTTCTATTTTTGTATATATTTGACAAAAATGAGTTTCCAAAAGAGGCAGTGCTGAAGTGATCAGGCACAATATATTTTTTATGTTTCGTTCTATATTTCGTTTCAGCTTAAGGGCGAACGCAGCCTACGCTAGGACCTAATGGGCCCAAGCAAGCAGCGTCAAGAGCGCGTCACTGGGTCTTTACTGCTTATGATTGGTTCAGAGGTGACAGAAAACATCGGGAAACATGCCGAACACCATGATGGTGTGCTTTTGACGCTGTTTGATAGACCCCATCAGTTTGTAGCATCAGCTGCGTCTTGACATAAGGTGAAACAAAGTATTGCGTTGTTCATTTTACATATGTAACACAATTTTGAACATCAATAAAGTAATCACCATATAAAAACAAAAAAAATCAATCGAGTCAACATTATCCTGGTACTTACAAGTACAAGGTTTACATCGTACTTCAGTTGGGAGGCAGTGTGTAGATCGATAGCAATTGAAAATAAATCGGACTGCTTTATCTTGTATGCGTTTTATTTTGTGAATGTTTTGTTGCGTGATTGGTTCCCAAACTAAGCCTGTATATTCAATCGTTCGTAATATTCGTAACTTATGCTGTTAATTTGTGCACTGGGCCGGCAGATTCTAACTTTCAAGTGTCCTTAGTTTGTATAGCGCTTTGTTACAAAAATTTTATATGCGCATTCTGGTTCATATTCAAACTTAAATAACGCCTATGTATTTGTACTGCTGTACACACTTTAAAGAAATCACCCCAACACCTGGCGAGCTGTGCTGTATTTGCATTATGTTCGTGTATGCCGTTTAGTTTTTGTATATTTTCATTTGCCATTCGTCACTAAAGTTGATCAATTTCTTTAAAAGCTCATCCAATTTCTTCGGCTTATCGTGTGTTTGTATTTTTGAAAATGTAATTATGCCATGGGCGAAATGTTTCATTTTAACGCCTGCTTGAAATCCTCGCTTAAGTCAGTGATATTGCCGCGTTCGCAGCTAGCCAAGTAGGAAGCGCGGCCGTGGCCTAACGGTTATCATGCCTGCCTCACACGCGAAGTGCCAGGGTTCGATTCCTGGGAGCGACGCACCTTTTGTTTGTCCTTGCAATCTAAATTCTTGAATTTAGATTCTTCTAAATTCAAGAATCCCGTTGCTGTTCTAGGTGCGAATGTTCCCGTCGCTGAACCTTTTAGCCGGATTATTCCAGATGCCAACGCGTGTACATAAGGGAGTGCATGGCGATCCTCAGTCAGTTTCGCCTCAGCGTTCGACTCTGCTCTCACGCGAACTTCGGTGCCCGCGACGCTCTACTTTTTTCTGTTCCCTTTTTGTTTTGGGGCAGAAGTTCGCCCCATTAAACGTCCCACTTTCCCCAGTTAATCTTCGTTCCCTCGCCGGTTCCTTTGTGATAATATCAAAAATAATTATAAGCTGCCCAAGCACAGACCCTTTAGGCACTCCTGATATAAAGGACAAGTTGTCTGACACTGTACTAATCAACTGCGCTGACTGTTTTGTACCAAATTAATAAGCTGTAAGCCAGGTCAGACTTCTATAATTGTTAAAAATATATTGTAGTTTATGAAGTAGCTCTGGGTGAAAATACTATCAAATGCCTTGGAAAAATCTAGGAACACAACATCTATTTGTCCACCCTTGTCGAGGCATAAACTTCTGTTACTTCTATTAGTTGTGTGTGGCTTGAAGGACCTCGCCCAAAACATTACCGATAGTTTGGTAGAATTATTTTTTAAACAAAAATTTTTAACAAAATTATATAATGTGTTTAGCGATAACGTGTTCCATGATTTTACAATTTGTACTCGACAGTGAGATTGGACGATCATTTTGTTTATTTTTTCTTGTCGCGACATTGGTATTGGAAATATATTGTCCATACTTCCGGTCACGTGGAAGACTCACACAAGATGGTGATTTTTATATATGAGGCTAAGTAAAGAAAACAGACTGCATATTTTTTAAAGAATATGTTTGCGCTTATATCTAAGGCATGAAGTGTAAGAAAAACGATAGCACTCGTTGGAAAGGTAGGAATCAAACCCCCCTGGTCGCTTCCACCCCCTTAGACAAGGGGGACCATGAAGACGGAGTAATAAAAAATTTGAACATCTAATTAGCAAATAATATTTTTACAATTCAAAGACAACTAAATATTCTAACTGTGTCCTTAAAAAAAGCGGGAAATTAGTCAGCCGCAATGTATGTTGTGTATTAAAGTAGTAAGGGTGCTGACTAGCTGGTGAATGTTGATCATGTTGACTAAACTTGAGACTGGGGCAGAAATGAACCTAAACGTCGAAGGAACAGAAAGGGACACGACGACGTCTCAAACTCAGCTACCAGGTTTATTTAGTCCTCCTTCTTATTTAGCTCACAATCAGCCACCACCAACACAAAGAGGCAACTCTAAACAATCCAAACTCCAAACCCTCCAATCCGCAAAGTTGCGCTATGGACGGCCTTCATGCCGATTCACAATAAAAACTCTACAATCTCCCCCAAAAGTTAACAAAAGGATCAGTACCTATTCAATTCTAGCAAAAATTCACAAAAAAAAAGCAAAAAAAAAAAGCAGGGGAAACGAAAAGGAAAAAAAAAATAAAAGGGGAAATTTAGCGGGGAAAAGTTCCGCTAAATTCAGCGGGAAAATATTTCCGCTAGATTTAGTGGGGAAATTTTTCCGCTAGATTTAGGGGGGAAATTTTCCCGCTAGATTTAGCGGAGAAATTTTTCCGCTAGATGTAGCGGGGAAATTTTCCCCCTAAATCTAGCGGGGAAATTTCTCCGCTAGTGTTAGCGGGGAAATTGTTCCGCTAGATCTAGCGGGGAAATTTTTCTGCTAGATCTAGCGGGAAAGTTTTCCGCTAGATTTTGCGGGGAAATTTTTCCGCTAGATTTAGCGGGCAATTTACGCATAATGCACCGCGCAGTTACGCCGACGCCGACGGCAACGGGCGCCTTAAAGCTGAGCTCTACAAAGCAAAAAAATAAAAAAAATACAAAGGAAAAGAAAAGGAAAAAAAAGAAAAGGGGGAAAGGGAAACGAGAAAGAAAAGGAAACATATTAAACGAAAAAAGCCGTTTTTTTTTCTTTTTTTTTTTTTCTTTTTTTTCTGAATTTTTGTTAGAATGGAATAGGTACTGATCCTTTAGTTAAATTTTGGGGAGATTTTAGAGTTATCTTCGTGAATCGGCATGAAGGCCGTTCATAACGCTACTTTGTGTATTGGAGGGTTTGGAGTTTGGACTGTTTAGAGGTAGTCCCTTTGTGTTAATAGTGACTGATTGCAGGGCTTGGCATTTGAACTGGTTAGAGTCATTTCTGTGTTGGTGGTGGCTGATTGTGGGTATATAAGGAGGAGCACTATATAAACCTGGTAACTGAGTTTGAGACGTCGTCCTGTCCCTATGTGTTCCTTCGACTTTTATGTTCCTTTCTGTCCCAGTCTCAGGTTTATTCAACATGGTTAACATTCACCAGCTCGCCTGCACTCTTACTATTTTATCTCTAATCGTCCCAGAGGCAGGCTTAGTCCCCTTTTCTTATGGATGAACATTCGCACCTCCACCCAACACGTTAATCCTCCAAGCTATTACGGTTTTGGACAACCTAGGCCGTCGCCTCGCCGAGCTGGAAGCGGATATGGCGTTCTTCGGCTTCTGTCTTCGGAAACAGGGTTGCCAGGTGTTTGAACTCCAACCCGCCAAACGTCCACAAGATCTAGCCCAAAAATAGCCAAACGTCGATCCAGAAAAATCGCCCAAAAATAGCCCAAAAAGAACTTATCATTTGAAACGTTTATTTTGAGCAGAAAAGACACATAATACATTTTTATCCATTAAATGCCCCATAAATGGCGTCCCTTGCACGTTCGGCGAACTTCCTGAAACGCTCTTACAAGCGCATGACAACATACCTTCCAGTGTATTGGGACGAGTGACCAGAATGACGTCACGGGAGAACTATGCAGAATTCAGACAACCTAAAGAATACGCAGAACAGGTGCTGTTAAGGCCACAAGGAATCGCGCCGTCACTTGTTGGGATGGAGGAATAACAGCACATGCTTGCATTCGGAGGTAAACAATTGCACAAGGCGCGCAAAAAGAAGACGAATTTGTTCGGTGTCGCAAACTTATTTGGGTTAAGGGACTGAAGCACCAAATGTTGACGTAACTTACTCTAAAAATACATTCGAACCTATAAACCCAAGTGCTTTCAGGCATTTTGGTTCCAGCACAGGTCAGAAATTACCCAATGTACAGGTTAGAAATAGCCCAATACTAGCCAAATAGCCAACTGCCATTTTTTCCCGCCAACTGCAAATAAAACTAGCCCAATTTGGCTATTTATAGCCCAACCTGGCAACCGTGTTCGGAAAAAGTTCGTGGACCCGGAAAATTTCAAGCATCGATCCTCAACCAGGTTCCTTGGTACGCCAAGGAAATGGGTCATCAAGGCCTACCCGGACGGAGCCAGCAAAAGGATCCAGAACATCAAAGGATCCTGCGACAGACTTTGGACGCTTCTCCTGGGATATGATTTGAAGTACCACCGGGAGTACCATCAATGGACCAGCACCCAAAAAACCCTGTTCAACAGATTATGGTAGGTGAAGCGCAGACATGTATTGGACAGTCTAAAAAAAATGAAAGCCGCTTACAACTCCCTGTAACGCCGAATTAGAGCGCAGCTCTTGAGGAGGAGGAGGGAAGGGCACTGGGGGGGGGGGGGTTAAACTAACCAGGGGGGGTCACGTT